TAAACCTGGGCTTCCCTGCCCGCCCCCTGCCAGCCCCCCAGGAGGGCCCTTGTCCCTCTCTGTGTGTCTGTCTATCAAACTAGACATTTCATTTGGGGTTGTCTCTCTTCCCTTTCAGCTCCATTCCCCCTGTCGCGCCAGTTAGACAAACACACAAACAAATAAACAGAGCAGGGGGCTGGGGCCTCTCTTCAAATGAGACCCTCTCTGTTGCTCTGGCCCTGCCTGGGTGGCTGGAAAGAGTGTGGGGTGGGCAACAAAAGGCTCTGTCCTTTCCGCTCTGCCCCTCAAGGTTATGGGTGATGTCCAAATTTAAGGCAGAAGTTCAAAGGCAGCAAACAAAGAGGAAACCGGCATCTTTCTTTCCCCAGAGGCAAAATGCTGCCTCAGCTGGGAGCTGAGGAGAAAGCCACTTAGAGGATCCCGAGGGTTTACTCTGCCTTGGTAACCAGGCTGATCCCCCACTTGCTGAAGACATCCACACAGCACCCCAGAGGGGTCCTCCTTGGGCCTTCACGTCCTGAGGTGAGCAAGGGCAGCCTGGGGTCAGACTCTTTGGCCACCTCAAACCTCAAGGGTTTCTTCAGGGCTAAAGGTCAGTTCAACAGGACCAAGTCCCACATTCTAGGCCCTAAGACATGCCACCTCTTAGACCCCATTTTCCACAAAGACATGGCCAACCACCTTGGCATCCTAAGCTTGGCTTCAATTGTAGCTAAATCCTGAATCAGTCACTGGCTCGCCCCTCGGAGGCCTGTAACTTGCCCCTTTACTAGTAAAAGGATGTGGGAAGGGGAGACATTTGGCAGTAAAAGGGAGAGGAATGTCACACCAGGACCTGATACTCAAGTTTCCACTGTCTTTATTTTCCTTGTTCCCTGACTCTTGTGTACTTGCTGCATAGGACACACCACACGAGGTGGGTAGGAACCGAGGACAGGCCAACACTCCCAAGACAAGCAGAGCCACCAGACATTTCTTTATACTGAGAGACAGAAGAGATTCAAGGGGATGGTGCCTGGTTTTCCTAAACGAGGTCCCCAGGTTCTAGCGAGTTGAACTGCCTCCAAGCATCCCCCTAACGCTTTCCAAATGTGGCAAGAGATTAAAAAGATCATTCTCAACACTCTTCCCACTCCCTCCAATAGCCCTAAGAAAGTCAACCAATGGCAAAAAAAAAAGAAAAAAAAGAAAAAAAAAAGCAGTATTCAAACAAATTAGGTTATGGTTCCTTTATTTACAAGTCTTTCGAACACCATCCCTGTATGAAGCGTACATTCAAATGTTCTTAGCAGTGAGCAAGTTTAACCGTGGACCACTGTAAACAGATAGAGCCTTTAAATATTTTCATCACCCCTCCACATTGCATCTTTTTAAAATTCGCTTTGGTTCCTTCAGGGAAATATATATATATAATATAATATAATATTTATTTTTTAAAATAATTCCAAATCACTCTCAGGCTTTTGGAAGGTCTCGGAAAGCTTCTAAGCTCAGTTCTGAGTCAATGACCAATGACGGCAGAATGTGGAGCTGGAACCTGGGATTTGGGGGGACTCCAGCCCCTCATAGCCATAGGCGAGGACTCGCTGGCCAGGCCCACTGCCCGACATAGAGCAAAATCCCAGCTTCATTAAATGTGGTGGAGACTTTGCCAAACTGCTGCACTCCACAGGCATTTCCTGCAGAGATCGAGGGGCCAGCGGCCTGGGTGCAGCCTCTGGGTTTTTCAATGCCTTACACCTCAAGAACAGTCCTATCTGCAACCAGGCTTTGGGCCTGGGTGGCAGGCTGGAATGAAGACCCTTGTTTGGAAGGAACAAAATTCTGGTGGACTGCAAAAAGTGACTGCTAGGAGCTCAGACCTGGGTCAGTGTAGTGAGTAGTTAGGAGTGGAAGACATGCATGCCACCTGGATAGATTTCTTTCCCTCCAGGACCTGCAGCCTTTCCCCAACTTACAGCCACCTCTTCTTAGTCCAGCTGCCTTTCACACTGGCTTCAGAAAGTAGCCCCATACTGGGCATTTAAGAATTCCTCTTGCCCCTATCTCCAAGCTAAACTGGGCTTGGAGAGCATACAGCTTCTTGACTTAGGAGTCCTGGGGGTAGCTAGGCTCTGTGGGGAGGGTCTTGGAGGGGGGTTGGCCTCCAGAGGCCCTGGCAGGGGGGAGGCCTTGTCCCCAGTGGAGACCACACCCAGCCTGAAGCACCATGGGCTCCGAGAATGAACCACCAGGCATCCCAAACCATTCATTCTAGCTGATGCACAAAGCTCAGAATCCAATTATTAGAAATCTTAACCGCTGAGATCTTAACCAAGAGTGTCCTAGGCCCTCTCCTGTTTGGGCTATTTCAATGTCGCCTTCCTCTCTTGTATACCTCCTTTTTTCACAAGTCACCATGTGCCTTGACCTTGTCAAGGGCAAAATCTGCATATCATTTCATGTGTATGAAGCCCCCCACCCAATTTCAGCTGGCTGGAGCCTTAGAGGAGCGGGTTAGCTGAGTAGTACTGTAAACGGTCTCTGTTAATTTTTTTTTCCTTCATTCTTCTGTTCTGAAACCAGATTTTGACTTGACGGTCAGTGAGGTTGAGCATGCGGGACAGTTGCAGGCGCTTCTCTTTGTTGATATAGACGCTAAAGAAGAATTCCCGCTCCAGCTCTCGGATCTGGTACTTGGTGTATGGGCAGCGCTTTTTGCGGGTGCGTTGGCCACCTATGGAGCAGTAAAGGAAGGGGGTGAGCTGACATGGATTTTGCAATCTACCCCAGAACCCTGATTTGAGGAAAAAGGCTGATCACAGGGACCGGGGGCCCAGCTGAAGCCCTCTCAAGGTCTCCCCAGGCCTCTATCCTCCTGCTCCCGCTGGGGACAAGTTGCAGCCAGAGGCTCAGCCCTAGATAAAAGCCTGCTGCTTAGACAGGCCCCTGGGGAAGGTGCTCCTGCTGCCCCCAGAGCAGAGAGGGAAGCTCCTCACAGCAACAGGCGAGTTTGTGCTGCTGAAACCGCTTTGAAAGCAGCCGAGTGGGGGTTGCTGGCTGCCTCTCACCCCGCCAGACTAAACAAACAGCGCCTGGGGACATTTCACCTTCAGCACCTGGGCTGCCTGTCCCCGAGGCAGTAAAGGCAGTCCCCGGCCCAGGCTATCCCAGTTGCGGCGAGATTTGGCTCTGGGCTCTCATTTATAACTGGGCTGCTGCGGGATCTTTGTCAACCTGAGCTCTAGCCACTCACTCGTGCGTTTCCCCACCAGCTCCCAGCTCCCTCGAGGTGGGAGGTGGCAGCAGAATTCCCCTACCCTGGGCCTGCTGAAGCCCACTGCTACACAGCAAGGGGACCATCAGACTTTTGGTACTGGGCAAGGGTGCTCTTTTAGGTAGAGTGGAGGGAACTTCAAATAGGCTCTACTTGTTTCCCTTTAAAAAAAAAACCTACAAGACAAAAAAAATTCACTTTTGACAGATTTAATAACAATTGTGAATAACATGCAGTTAGACAGAAGGCGGCACGTAATTGCCACCGTGCTGGAGGAAAATGGCTTCCTTTGGACAAAAAGGCCAACTTTGGGTTAATTTGTTTCTTTTAATATATTGCTTGAGCTAAGCAGGCTACTCTATCTGTTAAACTCGCTCCTAGCTCCATCGTTAAACAGCGATGCCTTTGAATCCCAGCCGGGGACTGGAGTCCCAGCGCAACACATGGCTTTTATAAAAATCTCCGGATTACCTTTCTATCAAAGGCTCCTGAAGCCCTTGCAGGGGGAATTTACAGGCGCCCACCTCCGGCTCCCAGCCTGAAGCTGGCCCCGAGCGGGATCGAGCTGCCGGGTTTGGGAGCTGAGAAGGGAAAAAAAGAGAAAACTGGAGTTTTTTTTTTTTTTTTTTTCCAGGCATGCTTTGGCCGGTGGGTATTTCACGGCCAATTTCAGCACTCGCCACGTGATCCCGCCTTTTATAACAAAGTTTTGTTGGGGGAAACCTAAAGGCCCTTCATAAACCTTATATGCTTATAAAACAGCATATAAAAATTTAACAGCGGTGCTGCGCTAGATTTCCAACTCCCCTTTCATAAAGCGCTGGGCGCTGCCTTTATACGTACTGGGGCCGCCGGCCTTGTCCTCAGTGTGGCCGGAAGACGACTCGGGGCTGCTGCTGCTCTCGGGGCGCCGCCGCCGCTCCTTCTCCTCGGCCGCCGCCGCCTCCCTGCAGCCGCCGCCGCCGCCGCCGCCGTCCGAACTTGAAGTTGCCGGCGCGCCCGTGGCCGCCGCCGGCGCGGAGGTCGCCGGCGCGGAGGTCGCCGTGGCCGCCGGGGGGCCCTTCTCCGCGGCGCTCTTGTCCCCGGGGTAGTCGGAGGAGGCGAGGTTTTCCGGGGTGCCGTAGGCCGTCTCGAAAAACTGGTCGAAAGCCTGCGGCAGGACGCCGTTCCTGCCCACCGTGCTATAGAAATTGGACGAGACGGCGGGGGTGGGGTGGTGGTAGACGTTGGCCGAGCTCTTGGCCAGCACGTCGCCAGGCACGCCGGCCGCGCTGGGCGCCTGCAGGCAGTCTCTGTGCACGAGCTCCTCCGCGGAGTAGCAGTGGGCCAGATTGCCGCGGGGGTGCCATTTAGTGGCGGGCTCAATGGCGTACTCTCTGAAGGTCACTTCGCGCACGGGTTGGACCTGGGGCAGGTTGGAGGAGTAGGAGTATGTCATTGGGCGCGAAGACGGGGTCTGGGGCAGAAAAGAAGGGAGGCTGGAGAAATCTGGACCCGAGACGTAGTAAGTACAACTTGGCAAATACATGTTAGAGGAGCAGGGACCACGCTCATCAAAATCCATCATTGGGCTACCTTGGGCTCTCCGCAGTAGCCGAGCTTAACATGATTCTCCACTGCAGCTGCCTCTTTGAAGCGGATCCGTGAAGTAGAAATTTGGAGACGTAAGCTGACGTGGAAATCTATCCCCATCCTTAGCAGGGAGGTGCTGGTCATGTGACCCGATGTTGAAATTGACAAGCTGCGAGCTAGTCCGGGCGTTTTTCACCCCCCCCCCTTTCCTTTTTCCCCCCCTCCCCTCCCTCCTCGGCTTCCTTTCTTTGTAGCCACCTCAGGGGAAGCAACAGATCGTCACTCGGTGTTCTCACCGAAAGCACGTAATCGCCGGTGTAACTCATGTTGGCTGGGGGCCTCCCGGCGCGCGGCGGGGCTGGGGTGCGCCCCCGTGCAGCTCGCTTTTGCTCAGCTGCACGATCCCAGCCCTCGAATGCGCCTAGGGCGGTGAGAAACTCAATTCCCGTGGCCCCCACCCCAACTCCTCGGGTGGGTGAGGGATGCTGTGTGCTGGGGGTGGCCAGGTGGGAGCCCGGAGCTGAGTGGCCCGTGGTCGGGGAGTCTGTTCTCCTGGAGGCTTAGGGTCGCGTCCCCTTCCTCCCAGCCCCCCACCCCAGGCTTGCTCTGGGAAGCACCTCAGCCTCAGACCCTGGTTGGACCCCATTCGGGGGCAGGGTTCGTAGTGGTGGATGTGCTGGCCTCGTGGCTTGTCTGATTTGCACGGTGACTTGATTACACGCTCGCATTCATGGTCACTTCCGAAGCGCTTTAGTGCCTTCCGTCCCTAAACCGCCAACAGCCAGGGCGGCTTTCCGCGCGGATTGTCAGTGATCCACGGGTCCGGAAGGGCCTTCGTCTTACCCGGGATCCACCTTCCCCTTCATGCTCCTTGCCCGCCTCCTCACCCCAGCCCTTGTCCTTGAAGAAGCCCCCTTCTTCTCGATGCCTGCCGGGGCTCGGAATGAGTGGGCAGAGTCACAGACATGGGGGCTGCGCCTCTGCTCACTGGTCAGCACGTCTGCCTGGTCTTCTGGAGCTGAGGAATCGGGAAACCATGCAATTGAGGCAAGCCTTGGGCTGCTTTAGAGGAGCTGACATCCGAGGAGCCTTCTCCTGGGTATGCTGGATCTTTGGGGAGGGGGGGTTCCACCACGCTACTTGCGAGTGTGGAGAATGGGGGTAGAAAGGGGGGCGTGATGGCTGAGGAGTCCCGGCTAAGAAAGGGATAATCTGCCTCCTCTTCTTCCTTGCAAAGCGAGAGAGTGAAAGCAAAGGATGTGCAAGGCAGAAACTCAGAAAGCTCGGTGTTTTTTCCTGCCACTCATTCCAGAGAAGGAGCACAATGCCAAAGAAAAGAGAGGTGCTCCTCCAACTCTCCACACCTTGGGCAATTAAGGATGCCTTGAAAAGGCTAAGTTCGCGCTAAAGACAGAGTCAGAGGCCGTAGCTGCTAGTGTGAATCTACCTTCTCAGGAGAGGAAACAGAAAAATTAAGAAGGCAAAATAGTGCTCATCACTATTTTGTAGAATTGAAGGAAGACTATTTAGGGTAAATGAAAGAAGAGAGAGGGCATAGAGTGGCCAGACAGGAAAAGGGAAAAGACCCATCCCTACGGCCTCCCCAAGACACTATTCTTAGAAGGAGCTGCGGTGGTGCAGAAGGAAAATTAAAAAATGAAAAATGAAAACCCTTTCCTTATCCAGGAAATAGCTAAAGGTATTTACATATCTTGAGGAGATTTAGAGTATAAACTCTAAGATCTTTGGCATTTAAGTGTCAACATCGATTTATTTATTTATTGCTGAGCTGACTGTAACTGACTTAATAACAAATTTAATCATGTATTGCACTGGAAAAGAAATATTCTCATTATGTATTTTCTCCAAATAATGACCTGCCATTGCATTTGAATACTCACTGTAAATATCAATAATATCGAGTAATTATTCTGTAGTAGAGTAAACTAATTTATTGGCATTAATGTTTATGTGGTTTTCCCCCTTTACAAGGATTGCTTATCACAAATCAAGCTTGGTCAGACACATTGGTTTAATGGACTCTTTATTCAAGATTTGCTGCAAGAACTTTCATGCCCCTCGAATCTGAGTGCTGAACTCGACATTATTTGTGCATCTTCAGCTTGACATATTTGTCCACTGTAGCTTGCATAGAGGGCAGCATCGGCATGAGTGAGAAGATCCTCTGGGCAGAAGGTTGTTGGGGAAAGGTAGCTTGGGACCTCCTAAAGCTGAGAGTCACAATTGTGGAGTTGCCCTGCAGCAAAAATACTCCTGTTTCCAGCAGCGACCAACAAGGCAAAATATTTATTTCTCCACAGTATCTCTTTCTTGGAGATGGAATATAAACGATAGAAGAGAGGTTGCAAACTGCTGTGTTTGAATAGTTCCCTGGCTCAATTTTTCACCATCCCAAACTGTCTCCCTGCAGCCCACCCAGTCCTCACCATCCCAATCCTGGAACAAAAGGAATGCATGAAGGGTTTCAGTGACTTTGCCATAACAAAGGCGCCACCATTGCAGGGCTCGCCCCGCCCCTGGATGAAGGCAAACAAATTCTTGCACTTGTATTAGGGCTTTTAAGACCATAATTGAACCCGGGGGCGTCTAGGAGAACCGAAAACAGTTCTAGACAGACCTGCGGTTTTATAGCAGTTTTGGCAGTCAACTTCAGCTTGTGCCTGAGCAGTGGGGCCGAAGTCGCCCGCCAGCGGGGGATGCTAGACCACCTCCCCCAGCTGCATGCAGCCCCTCACTTAATTAGATCGGCTTCCTCTGGTGCCAAGGAGAGGGTGTCCCCACAGAAAGGTCAGTATGGGGTTGTGTGCTATTTCAAATAACCACTGCCTCCTATGTCCTTCTCAAGGACTCCGAGAGGAGTGTTTGCCGGCAGGTTTGGATTCCTTGGGCATCTTCATGAGACAAGGCAAATTCCCAAGGAAAGGCTCTGTGGAAGGAAGATACTCCAGGAGTGGTTGGTAGGATTATTTGACAGGCTGTACTGAAGCTGGGTGTCCAAAAGGACTTGCAGCCTGGGGGGGGGGGTGCCGGAAGATGGATGAGGGAAAAGGCTTTTGATGGCAGCAGAAGGGAAAATGCCTGGAACCGCTGAGTGCTTTTAGTTCTCTTAGCAGGGACAAAACTCGAGGTGCTCAGATCCTCCAAGCCTGCATGATGCCTCTGGATTTGCCCATTCCTGCCCCACTCAAGCAGAATATAGTTGGTGTGAATGTTTCTTCAGGCAGCCAGTGGGGGTTAGGATGGGTACTGTTTTGAGGCTTGGACCAAATATGAGGCAAGAAGGGGTAGCGCCTACCCAGCTACCAGTCCTTGATTTTAACTTTGCTGAGTCTTATAGATTTTTCTGCTTTGCAGGAGGCTCAACAGTCACGCTGAACCTACCTGGCTTTGGGAAAGAGCTGACTGGGTCTAAGGCTATCCCGGAAGCCCAAGTCCGAGTTCTACTTCTTGAAGCTGCCGCGGTAGGCAAGACTGTGACATTGGCCCTGGCGACTGGTTTCCCATGAGCTGTTCTTTCACAAGAGCTCCACGGCACGGGGCCATCTCCAGAAAACACTCTTAAGCATATATTTCCTTTAATCGTCAACCCGGAGCCCCAGGGCGGCTAATGCAAGAGGCCAAAAATGTTTGGAGGAAGAAAAACAAAGGCAGGAAGTGGCGGCTGCCTGACGGTGTGTGTGTGTCTGCAAAGAAGGGAGGGAGCCAGTTCAATCTCTTGTTTTTCTGAACTTCAAGGTCTAGGCAGCCTTTTGCAGGGCCGCCTGTCCGCTGCTCCTCCGCAGACTTTGGAGGTGGCCACCCGGAGAGAAGGCAGGCATCCCTGTGGTCCTCATCAAGGCGGAAACAGCTAACAAGGAGATTTGTTTAGCAAAACAGACCGAAAGCAAGCCTTTCAGGGCCTTCGTCTGATTTGGCTCTGACATTGGGGAGGGAGGATGTGCGCCTACCCAGCCCTCCTCACAGGCTGAGTGCACCCTGGCTGGGATGGTGATCCACGCACCCGTGTGCTACCGTCTTTCCAGGCAGGATATCAGAATAAAGTGTATGGGGTGCCTCTGCCGCATCTGCTTCTTCTTGCAGCAGGAGAGGTCTGGGCAGCTGTGGGAGGGAGCCAACGGCTGATACTGAGTAGCAGAGTGCCTTCTGCACCATTGACATGCAGTTGGGCAGAGTGAGGCCTTGTCACCGTGGTTGTCATGCCAGGGATGGTTTTAACAATCATTCAAGGGATACCTGAAAGGCAGTTTAACACTCTCTCACGCTAAAGGAGGTTAGAGCTGGTAGTGGGGGTGCAGATGAGGGCACCTTTAGGCTCCAGTTTTCTAAACCCCAATTGGCCAGGTTTCTGGGCTGCCCTTTGTCCCTTGCTTGGGCTGGCTTGGAAGACAGCAGCTGCTCCTCATCCTCCAAATCTGGGAGTAGGAAATCTCCAGTGCCTGCATTTGTAGCCCTTTGAATGCTCAGCATGAGGTCCATAGTGTGAATGCCAAAACCAGCTGCCCCCCCAAGTCCTTCTCCAGCCAGTACTGTCCCCCAGCAGTTCCTGCTGGCTTGTTGTCCTCTGTTGTCTTGCATCTTTCTAGTCAGTCTCTTTCTGGGGCCTCTTGCCTCTTTGATGTCTCTCCTAGACTGAGCAACAGCTGAGATGCCACTAGAAGGCACCTAGCACTCACGTATAGAGAAAATGGTCTATGAGGTTTCTGACTCCCCACAATTTTAGCCTCCACCAGAGACCTACAATTATTTCTTAGTGGTTTGCTTAGGGCACTATCACTATTTTGCCTTAGAGCACTATCACTTTTTGCCTCTTCTTGCTGGCATGAGCTTCTACTCTCCTCTGTCCCCAAATGTTACACTGTTTTTAGAATGCTAAGCTTCCCTAGTGAACCCTAATGCCCACATGTGCAAGAATTGGCTGGAAGAATCAGGGTGGAAATGGACATAGAGCTCTTTCCAGGGATGGAGAGCAGGCCTTCATTTGGGGACTATTTCCCTCCAAGTTGGAGATGTCCTTAGGACTACCTGCTCCTTTGTGGTGAGCTATGAGGGTGTTTGGGGATGACCCAGGAAATTTCCCAGTTTTTCTTGTCAGAGAATGGCTTATTGGCAGATCATGGCCAACCCATCACCTTTCCTTTTGGTAAAATGTCAAGAGATCACCTCTACCATTACCAAGTAGAGACAGGGGTTAATTTGTCCCTTTGTCAAGGCACTGACTCCCCGCTTGCCTTCTCTATAGCAAGAGAACAGGTAATTCCTTGAACTTGACCTCACATTTGGTTCTTGGTCTGATTAGCAGGTTCAGTCATCCTACTGTTCTTGAATATCTGAAGATATTCTTCCTCTGACCATGGGGAGGTGGGGCAGAGGGCTCAGTTGAGCGTCTCAGTCACCTAAGCAATTTGGTTATCATTTAGTTTACTGGTTCTTGAACCGATGGGAGAAGAAAGGGTTCCTTCCTTTGAGAACTATTTTTATTTTTACTATTGCTAACTCCTTAGAGAAGATTTTACTTCTTTTTCCTGTATAGCATGGGAACAAATAGGGTGGGGGCAGCACTGAAGGGTGAAACCCTAGTTCTCAATGTCTGCTTTCTATTTTCCTTGCAGCTTTGGCCCAAATGGGGTTTCCCCAACCAAATATATCTGCAATAAAGAGGATAAAAGAGAGTAGTCCAACAATAATGTTGGTTCTGGTCCTTGGTCTCAGTCCCCAAGGCTATGGCTCACAGGACTCTCTCATGATCCAGGTTCCAAATGCCTTCCAGGACAACTCCATTTTTACTCAGTGCCAGTGGCAATTCAGATTCCAAGGTTGAGACTAGTCCCCTGTCCCCATCCAGCCTTGCCTTCGGGGGCTCCCTGACCCATCTGCCTGGCTGTTCACCATGGTACTCATTTATAGACAATCCCTCCTGTTCTGTATCCCACTTCCCCACCACCCAGTCTGGCCCACTGTAGGGGCAAAGTCAGCTTTCCTGACTTTTAAGAAAAGATAGAAAAGAAAAGATTTGGTACCCCTTGGCCAACAGGCTCAGTGGCAGACTAGCCTAAATTCTCTTTATGGCTGAGTTGAGGCTCTGACCTGCCAAAGGCAGGCTATATGCAGGGAGTAAAGTGCTTCCTCCCCTGCAGAGCACAGTCAGTTCTTGGGGCCCAGGAGTCAGGGGTTTTTATACTGGCAGAGCCCACCTCATTTAGTAAAGATTTCAGGCAGGAGAAAAACATCAATGATATCACCAAAAGGCCTGCCATGCACTGATGGAACACCTGAGCTTAGGAAGCCCAGCAGGGTCTTAGATTTTCTATATTACCCCAGGCCCTATGGCCCAGACCAGCAAGCCACTTGTTCCTACCAGGATCAAGTACTCCAAGTTATCCAGGATCCAGGGCTGTCTGCTCCCCTTGAGCTTGCAGGCTGTTCATTTTGCCCGGGCTCGGCCTGCACAGCCTCAGAAATCTTCTGGACTGGGGCAGATCTTGCTCTTCCAGGATAAAGCCATAGCCTGGTCCCCCCAACCCCCGACTGTGAAATTCTTTTCTAACAGGGTAAGTTGGAAACCAAGAAGGAATCCCACATGCAATGCTCAAGCCCAGGCCACCAGAACCTGCTTGCAGCAGCAGTAGCAAAGAGGACTCTGTCAATTGTATGTCCTGGGCCTACCAGCAACCGCGGCAGCCGCGGCTATCGCGACTAGCGAGCAACCCGCCCAGACCTTGGAGGCGGTGGCTCCGAGGACTTGACCTTTACCGTGCAAAAGACAAGTACGCTGTGCGCCGCCAGGAGGGGGCCGTGGCGGCTCCAGCCTTTTCCACCCAATAGCAGCCCAGGCAACCCACGCGGGCTGCGCGCTCATCCTCATTCCCCCCTCCATTTTGTGCAGTGTCCGCAGCAGGCGGGTGAAACAAAGCCCCCGGCACTGCACTCAACACCTCTCCTGTCAACTTCTGTCCGTAACCTGCGTGATCAGAAGGCCCGGGACTAAAGCCAGCCAGTCTAAGCCCTTCTCCAGGCCTGTTTGCTCGCCTGAGCCCAGCCAGCGCTTGGGTACGACGTGGTGCCAGCCGACTTCCATCGGGGCTTAATTCCCGTGCTCGGGTCCTGGCGTCAGGCTGCGAGGTGCGCCGGGGCCTTCAGCCCGGCCGGCGTCGCCCATACGCGGGGCAGGGAGGCCGTCCGGCCGCGTCCCTGCCAGGTGGAGACCGCGCTGCCCGTGTCCGGCGCTTGGCCCGCGCGCCCAGCCCGAGCTCCGCTCCCTCGGACCTCAGCCCGCCGGCCAGCGCCGGGCTCCCAAAGCGGAAGTCTTTGATAGAGAAAAACACGGTTTCTTTTCAGCTCGTCTCCAAACCCCTCTTAGAGAAAATGCTGCTGTCAAGTTTTATTTCCCGTTGCAAACCACCTTCCATGCTGCCAAGAATTAAGAGCAGGAGAGAGTAAACCCGACTGCCCTCCTGAGCAGCGAGGGTGTGGCGGAGAAGGGCTCGGGCACGACACCTTCCCGGGCAGCGCTGGGCCCGCGGTGACGTCAGCGGCAGCCTCGGGGTGTCGCGGGCCTGCAGCGCCCGCCGGCGCGGCCTCGGGCTCCCCCGCCGCGACCTCCGCCGCTGGGCCGCCGAGCCGCGGCTGCAGCCGTCGGAGCCAGGCCTGCCCCCGGAGGGTCGGGGCCTCCATTGAAGGTCGGTGCGGGGTTCCTGCGGAGCTCGAGGACTTGGGGCCGCGCCCGGGTCCCGGGGGGCGCCCCGCTCTCTGCGCGCCCGCGGAAGCTCTGCAGCCGCGCGTCCGCGCCCGGACCAGGCCTGCGCCTGCTCGGCCGCTGGGAGGGTCTGCAAGCCTCACACGCCGCCGAAACTGTGTCTGTCCGCCCGGTGGACCCTGCTCCTCAGCTGCGCGACGGAGTCGGAGAGCAATGAGATCCACCCGACCGGGCGAGGCCTTGGCTGCTTCTACGGAGGGATTTCCCCCTGCGCCAGCGTCTTTCGTGTTCTCCATTTAAAATAAAATTTAAAATAGCAGGCTCCTCTCAGGCGTTGTCTGCGCAAGTGAGATGCGTGAGGATTGGGTGGGTCTTCTCAGAATGAAGCCTCGTGGTTGCTATTTACCCGGTGGCCGAACAGATGAAAACTTAATTAGCGTTCCTGTCCCAAAACGCAGGCATAAATCTCCCCGGGCCTTTTGGATAACGCTACATCTTTGCTTATGAAAAATGGGATGTGAGCAACTCGCTGCACATTTCTCTGATTCTCCAGGACTTGGGCTGCTGACACGCATTCGATCAAGTTTAAAGGAATGCGCATAAATCAGCGAGCCACTATCGTCTCCTCCATAGAGCTCTGCAAATCTAGAAGGGCGCCTCTGAACCCACCGGGTCTGGGGATTAGCAGTCCCGGGCGGCCTCCATCTGGGCTCGAAACGGGAATTCGCAGAAAGAAAGAAGGATGCCGCATCTTCACCCAACCCTCCAAACACACAGGGCGGTGTAACAGGCCGTATCTATTATACAGTGAAATCTGACTACCCGCACACAGATGTATCCCCCTTAGCTAGCTGGGTTTCTTCACTGCCTCCTGGCGAATTTCGCGGAAAACATTTCAATTAGGTCGAATCTTAAAAATCAATAATTTCCTTTTCTCAACTTTCTTAATTTTTCTTTCTATGTTAAAAAACAAAGCCAATTTACATGAATGGTTTCAACTCTGCATCAGGGAGAAGTAGTAGCGAAATACACAGTGACATTTTACAGTCAACCACTTAAATTAATAAATTTGACAGTATTAAGAGCAGATGGGGAAAGTTCTATACTTATAAATTTTTTTGTCCAAAAACAGTTTCCTTTTTAGAAAAAAAACTTGAATCAGGTTTTAAACCACAGTATTTGTGCGTTAATGGCTTGCATTATTACTTTTATTTTTCAGGTGGAGGCTGGTGTTCCCCTAGCTGTGTTAGTCCTACAGGCTTTAAGCATTGGGGAGCCATTAAAATCCATGCCCACCTCAGTTTATCTGGTAGCTCCCTGGACACTATCAGTATGAAACCAGTTACTTAAGATTGACACTGTCAACAGCCATTTTAGAACTGGGGTGGGGGTGGGGCTACTGACATATTTCTGTTACAGTTTCAAATCTGGAAAGAGAAAAAAAGGCTATTACTTTACCCAAGGTTCTTGTAGTGGCATGGCTTTTGAAGGGGCAGCATTCTGGATGCAGACCTGCTGTTGGTCTCTTTTCTAGGCCTGCGGCTCAGAATATTTCTTACATCTAAAGAAAAATATCTCCCATCAACAGAAGAGTCCTCTTCACAGCTATTTGTAAGCACACAGATCCAGATTCGAGGCAATTTTCCGTCACTTTAAACATTTTGGAGAATGTCCTTAATTTTGCTCCAGGATAGCTCTTTTACAAATGGAACTGTGGAACAAGATGCGGGGAGGCGCATATGAAGTAGCATTTGCATTTCTTTCCACAAGTGAAGTGAAAATCCTCAGGGCATCAAAATATGACTGCACTCACAGGGCCGTTGGATACATGGCTCAGGACTTGGATTTTGGAAATAGCTCTAGATTTTTCCATAATTCTTCATCTATAAAGCTCTGCGTCTTTAGGTAAGCTGGGGGAGGTCTCCATCAGCCAAGCTTGTAACCAACCAATATTATTTTCCACCAAATGATGAATCAAGTTCTTCTGTTCACTATTTCTTTCCTCTAATATAAAAATAAAATTAATCTGCATCTGATAATTCCATATTTCCAGGCTACTGGTTCCACCAACATTTTAATATTGGTGGAACAGAGCATGGGTTTGACAAAAAACACATAACCCTATGTGTGTATTAAATATATAAACATACATATGTATTATTTAAGACTCTGAACCCAGCACCTGATGTATTGTTAGGGGATCAATAAACAGTAGATATAAAAATTTATCATTATTATATAGTTTGATAGTGATTGTTAATATTAAATGTATTTATTTCTCCCACAAATCAAACGGCACATTTGCAAGCATCCATATAAGATTGCACACCACCCTGGAGCCACATTCAGCTCTGAGCTACCCAGGATAACTCTCCTTCTGCATACACAGTATGGTCATTTTGTAGGTATGAGACACTTAACTTCTCCTTACTGACCTCTTAAGAGGTGGGCTTCTTTGAATTTCTGAAATGTAACTCTAGAACTCTAGAGTTAGCAAGGCATCTGAAACTTTATTTGCCGTTAAGACTCTCTGATAGCTCTAATTAGGGTGGTAGACCACCTTGAAGGGTGAGGAGAAAAATGGTTATTTAAGAACATCTCTTGGACTGTAACAAAAATGTACAGCTTAAAACAGACCTGCAGAAATCTGAGTGAGCTGCTGTAAAGACAAATCAAATTGGTCATTAAAAGGAGCAAACTGACATCATGTAAAGTACATTTTGCATCTCAACTCTAGAAATTACCTTAAATTACAATGTTGTGAGTCATCAGCAGTTAATGATACTATATCTGTACAGATTCTATAATTACATATACAAGCACACACAAGCACTCATATGCAAATGTATACATGTATACACATATATGATATATATTCACATATATACAGGCACATGTTTAATTTACATATATTCAAATTCGCTCCATTGGGAGCCAAATAAATGAGTACTAAATCTCTAAAATTACAAGTCAAGGAGGTAAGAATTCTTGGTTCCCTTGAAGCTGAAGAATTACAAGGAGGCTTGTCAACACCAGGTGGCGCCCTTGATCTACTAATCCAGCCCAGGCCAATTCATGAGCTGTCAAAAGTCAAGGTCACAAATTGTCTTTTTTCGTCAAGGTCAAGGTTTAAGGCCTTTCCTAGTCCTGTCATTTCAACAAATATCAAAACCTGCCCTTTCAGACACATGTAGACCCAACAGCAGATTTTAAAATACGACAGCCTAAGCATTACTGATACTAAACAACTGGTTTTCATTTTCCACTGGGAGCCTGGAAAATTATACTATCTCTTTCTCCTTTCTTTTCTTTCCCTTTCACCTGACATTTTTATCTCCTTAAAGCACTTATCACTTTCAGAATTTTAGTTATGAGAGATTTCTCCTTTTTCTTTTAAAAAATTAACCCCTCCAAAAGTTGAATAATAATCCAATAGTCCTTGGTTTGTACGAGACAAACTTGCTCCTTTTCCGTGCAGAGCACGTTTAGCAAAGGAAAGTAACGAGTGTATCCTTCAGATTTTAATGGCAGTGACTATTTTATTAACAGAATTAATACCACTGTATCACTATCTACAGGTCTAAAATTTCCATTTTTAGTAGAAATATTTAAAAAGCAGGTGCACAAATACATTTTCACAGTGTGCTGAATGTCTTTATTTACAAAATAGTATTTTAAAGTGAATATGAACAAAACGAATGTGCTAGTTGAGATAACTGCTTGATTAAAAATGTGCTGTGAAGATGAATCCTTAAACTTTCTACTGCAGTCTCATAACACAGTAAACAAGGAAAAATACTAATCTCTTAAAAGACCAAAATATAGAATGCCGACAATCTAAATATTTTAGGGGGAATGAATTTCCATTCTGAGTCATCTAAAAATAAAAACAAGAAAATTATTTATCCTGCAAAATATTTAGCAAATATTGGAAAATATTAATTTAGATGAAAAACGAATTGCATCAAAATCAAAGTCCATCATGCTGGGGGTGGGACCTGCTGGGAGATCTGACATAAAATGAATCCTGCAGATTATCTGTTGATTTAAACATTTTTTTAAAACTCCCAATTCTTGGGAAAATCACTGATCATGGGGTAGTCCAGATGCCAAAAGTGTGATTGTTACAAGCAACTAAAAATTGTTCTCAGAAAGACATTACCAACCTGGAATTCCTTTATAGTCTCAAAGGTTTAATCTGTTTGTGTTTACTATCAAGACATATGATCTTCAAAAGCGCTTTCCTGTCCTTTCTCCCTTCAGAGTAAATAGTTCTAGATTATTCCAGTACTTTCTCTTTCCCCTCTCTAAACTTATACATGAAACAGATTTCAGAACATACAATATAGGAATTTCACTAAGATTTACCTGAGCAGACACTTAACATGCAAAGGGGACGGCGACGTGAGGACAAGCAGATGCTTACAACAGCCACTTGCTTTTGTAACCAACTTTCAGATTATTACCATCTAACACAGTGTCCTAAAATATGACGGTCACATAAATACTTACAAGATTTCAGTAAATGTGTAACTTATCTGAAATTGCATGTTTAGGGGTTGATGTTTGACTCTAGTTTGTCATGTAACGGTCTGGTTGGGTTGGCGGGAGAACTGGCGGTCTTTATCATTTCTTGAAGGTTTTAAAAAGTTGTAGATTCCATTAGAGGAAGAGATTCTCCCTTGAGGAGAGCCAAATGCCAGTGTCTCTCTTTCCATTTCTTCAATCATTATTAAGTGTTATTGTTATCTGGGCAAAGCAATGGATTCTGAAGCATTTCTTCAAGTTCCCTCTACTCCATAGTTAATCCATTAACTAGTGGTCTTCAGTTTGTTGATGACTTTTTTCTCTTTGACCCTCCTGTTTTGGAACCAGATTGTAACCTGCCGCTCAGAGAGGTTCGTTGTGGCTGATATCCTTCTCCGTTTGTCCTTGGTAATGAATTTGTTCGTGGCGTATTCCCGTTCGAGTTCTTTTAATTGCACCTTGGTGTAAGGCACGCGCTTCTTTCTCCCTCTTCTATAGGAGCTGGCATCCGAAGGATGGGAGACCACGTCTGGAAGACAGAGGACAAGGCAAATTATACACAGATCAGAGGGGGCCAGGACACAGGCGACAGCTCGATCAGATCCACGCGCCTAGTGCGGGCTGCTCTTTGCTGTGCGCTGTACGACCCGGCCTTCTGCCAAAGTTTAAAGGGTTAGGAGAAGAGAGTGGTTAATTATGCAGTGAAATGAAGTCGCCTAGAGTTCCAGTGATCACTCCAACAGGGTTAACTTGCATGCCCAGCGCGCCTGCTTCCCTCCATCTCCGGGCCCAGCTGCCCACAATTTAACACCCGACGCAGGGCACAACGCTCCTGTGCCTGGGCTTCTCCCGGTTTGCCCAAAGCCCCAACACTCGATGCTTCACCAATGAAACCATTTTTTGACCGTGGATAGTGGCAATCTGATGAGCCAAATAGCAGGTCGATTTCCCAGTTTCAGTCAGTGTCAAGGGCTGGGGAGGGCGGGGCGCAGAGGGAGAAGAAAGGGGTCCCCACAAGCTCCCTCCCGGCCACCCTTCACCCAAAGAGGGCCAGGGGCCAGCTCAACTTAGGGTAGTGCGGACAGCGCTAGCCAGCCAGGATCAGGCTCCCAGGGGTGCAGCCCCGCTGGGACAGCCAGGGAGAGCAGAAGGCCACCCGGGTGACCCCAGGCAGAGCGGGGGAGAAGCTGGAGCAGAGCCGGAAGACCGGGGCTGGAAAGGGGGCGCCATTTACCGGGCAGAGTGGACTTCCAGAGGTGGGGAGGCTGCGCCTGCTCTTTGGGGCAGTACATTTGGCCGTTCCAGCCGTTGGGCAGCGCCCAGGGCTGGTAGCTTTCCATGGGAAGACCCAGGGGCTCGTGGCGAGACTCGCCGGGGCCCCCGAGCCCCGGGACCACCGGCATATCCAGGTAGCCGGGCACGGGCTGGTGGTGGTGGTAAGGCCCGGCCGCGTAGCCCTGGTGGTAGAAGGCGAACTCCTTAGCGCGGGAGCTGAACTCCTCGGCCGCGGGGCCGGCGGTGTCCATGTACTTGTCCGCGAAGGCGGCGGCGGCGGCGGCCGAGGCGGGCTGCGCGCACGACTTGATGGCGTTGGGGTGCGGGCCCATGCGGGCGCACGGGTAGTAGCCGCTGCCGAAGTAGCCGTAGGGCAGCGCCGCCGGCCCCGACGAGCTCTGCGCCGCGGCGGAGCAGGGGCTGCACTGCTTGGCGGCCTCGGCGCCCGGGGGCCCCGCCGGGCCGGGCCCGCCCGAGGACGACGCGGCGGCGGCGGCGGCGGCGGCGGCTGCGGCGGCGGCGGCGGCGGCGGCGGCCGAAGGGGGCGCCTCCCCCGGCGCGCTGCTGTAGGCGGCCGCGGCGCCCGGCGCCAGGGGCGCGGGGTGCGCCATCAGGTTGCGGCATTGGTTGGCCGCCGCCGCCGCCGCCGCGGCGGCCGCCGCCGCCACCGAAAAGTTGCCCCCCGCGGCCGCCGCCGGGTGGGGGAAGCCCCCGCCCCCGGCCCCGGCCGCCGCCGCCGCCGCCGCTGCCGCCGCCGCCGCCGCCCCTTCCATGTTCTTGTTGAGCTCGTCGGCCACCAGGCCGCCGCCGTTGTCGTAGAGAAACATGACGGTGGGCTCGATCCAGCGGGGGTGGAGGAGCACGGAGGCTGTCATAGCCCGAGCCGCATGGAGAAGACCCCAGTGGCGCTGTTTTAAAAAGCCCCCAAGAAGTGAAGAGCGCGCTGCGCGGGGCCGGGGCCCGGGCGAGGGGGGCGGATCGCGCCCTGCGGGGTCGCGCCAGGCGGCCGCCCATTGGCCCGCCCCCGCCCCGCCCCCGGCGTATGCAAAGCGGGCGGCTCCGGCCCCAGCTCCGCGCGGGGCACCCGCGGTCCCGGCCGCCGCGCGCGCTGGGTCCCCAGCGCCAGGGCTCGCTGCTCGGCCGTGCACCCTTCACCCCCGGAGAGGCGGGGGGTCGCGGACTGGCGAGGAGGAGAGGGAAGCCCCGTTTCGCTCCCCTTTCTTTCCTGTCTCCCTCGGCAGGGAGGGGACGTGGGCGCACCGCTTGGGTTGCGACCTGAGGCCGTGGGGACAGGTCAGGTAAAATCCTCCTGTGCCCACGGAAGAGAGACTGGTGAAGAAGGCACTAACTAAATCAGGCTGGGTGTGGGGCCCTGGGGGCTGTTTTCTTTCCAGGTATCCTAGCGTCTTTCTGCGGGGAGACCATAAGATGGATATCGGATATTGTAGCTTTCCGCGTGGACAACACCTCAACCTGGCTCTCCTTGCAGGGGAACAGAGGCGGGGTGTTTGCTGCTTGTGGATTCTCGCGGTTGTGCCTGGCTCTGCGCTCCTGGGACATCCCACTGAGACGCTTGGACTGCGTTTAGGAGCTTTCTTCCCTTCCCTCTCCACAACGTTAGTGGACAGTTTTCATATGCTTGCATTTAGGCCCATAAACTCAGGCAGAACTCATCTCACCCGCAATGACATAGGGGTACACACAGTTGAGGGTACACTGATGCACTAAGTCACAGTCATACAGTTTTATACACAGCCTGTTTTTCCAATCTGACCCAGTAACAATTCTTCCTCCTCCTCCAGAGTCTTTGAGATGGAGAGAACACCATTTACCCATGCTCCTGTCTCTCCAGTCGGCCGGCTTCTCATGGAAGGGGCTTAAAGAGGAACAGGCCACAGCTGGGCTGCTGGCCGGGACTCCAGAGGCCTCACGCAAGCTGCTCCATAGAGCCTGGGCTGAACTTGACTCTCCAGACATCTGGGAACCCACTACTGGATTGCATTTTGGGAAAAGAGGAAAGGGCTCTTTGGGGGTCACTTCACGTCTTCCCTTCAGATAGGAGCCCCAGCCTGCAGAGGGTCCCAGTGCCCAAGAGTCAGCCAAGAAGCCTTTCCTGTGTGCCTGGGAAATGTGACCCTTTTCTGGTAGCACAGAGGGTGCTGGTACTGGAAGAGCCAGACAGCAGCCCTCCTGGCAGCTGCCATGATTTGATGAGGGATTCTGGGGGTCCCGCTGCTTTGAGAGCAGGTATTTCCATCTCTGTGTGACTGTTAGCATGGGAAGAAGCATTCAAAGTGAAAGTGGGCACCTTCACCTTCAGGAACGTTTGGAGCCGGGAACACACTGGACGCCCTTCCATCCGGGCTAACTGATGAGCAGCCAGACTTGAACCTGCCCTCCGTCCCAGCTTGCAGCCTCAGCCCTAAACTCATACGCTGCACATATCACCCCACTGTTCTGCTCTCTAAGCCCCTTGGGCTTCCTGCAAGGTACAGACCAATGAACTGTGCTCAGGCTTTTATCTCCCCAGATTCCAGGCTTTTCCCTGACCAATGTAAGTGTTACCCAGTAAAACCTTCTCTGCCCCCACCCAGTACCTCCTCCACACAGGGGAGTGTACCCTTTCCCTCTTGACTTTTTAGTGGTTCTGGGTAAATATTGATTTGCCCCCAGTTTACCTTCTCTCCACTAGCCATTTGCAGACTAAGGAACTGGTCTCTGTAAAGACTTGATTTTTGCGTTACTTTCCGGCCATTCATCCCCCACCCTCTCCCTTCCTCCAAGTGGCATTGTAAAACTCACAGTGACAAAGAGACGGGGTAGGGTTCGAGGCCTCAGTTCCTGGGGACTTGAGGGCGGTTTTACATACGGGTCAGGCACGGCTGGAGGCCAAGGTCAAGTTGAAAGTTGCAGTCTAGTCAGCGTGAGAGAGCTGCCATGCAAGCCTGGAGACCACCGCAGCTGTACTGTGGCTGCTAAACGCCCACCACCCATCTCCCCTCGCCCTTAATTCCCTTTTCGTTTAGAATTCTAGTTGCTGGCTGTTTGTCTAGCCAGGTTTTTCTCCCTCTGCCTTTGTAGAGTTTTTGGGGCAGTGTTTACGGACTCTTCTTCTCTGCCTCCACCCAGCTCTTGGCAGGGGCTTTGAGCCTCTTCTGTTTCTCAGCCAGACCCGGAAAAACGAAAACACGGCTTGGGAAGCCCCCAGCAACCGGCGCCTGTGCCAGCTCACCTCTGGCTGTGGCGAGGCTGCCTGTGCGCACTGCCGCCAAGGCCAGCTCACGTTCTTTCTCCCCCTCCCACTTCACTGGAGCCGGGAGCCTTGCAAGCAGAGACTGCCAAAGTCGACTGGTCCTTCCTCACCAAAAATGGTGAGACAAGATTTCGCCTTGTCCGCTGAGGAGCCACAAGCAGGTTTGTCTGGGAGGGACGGCGCCGGGAAGGGAGGGGAAGAAGGCTCTTTGGGTCGCATCTCAGATTCTTTTGGCTTTGCGTCTCACACGTGGTGCCCCCACCAAGGAAAGGCTTGGGGCCCACATTATTGAGATTTATGTCTCCCTATCATTTAAAAAAACTCTAAAGACATGATTACTTAGAGGGAGGCAGCCTGGTTGTCCCCGTCTTAGATCATAATACGTATGATGTGATTTTTCGGTCAGGTATGTCAATGGAGTCTTGGCATGCTTTCACTATTTTTAAGTGCCTGCGTGTCCTGCTAAATATTGTGTTGCAGCCATCAATCAGTGGGAATAGTTTATATAATTAGAATGAATTCTGTGAGTAATCATAGGTCTGAATTTCTAGTTTCTTTTACTCACTATGAAGCAAGAATAATTCCGCTTCTCAACATTTCACTGAGGAAGATAAAGAGTTCATTAATGTTTCCCAGTATGGATTCTTATTCCACTAGGCAATTACCAAACTGGCTTGCTATAGAAAAAGAAAGGTCTGGAGAGCAATAAAGACAGGACTGTGTTCTGAGAAACAAGCATAGATCCTCCCAGCATTCTGCCTCTTTCCTCAAAGGCAAGGTCAAGACTGGCTTGCCTGCCCAACTATGGGTGCCTGCTCTCTTTAGCCGCCCCTGCTTTTTTGTTCTTCAGGCTCAGGAATTTCTATAGGATTACAAAGAAGCACTATCAATTTAACAATTTTATCCTCAGACTTTCCATGTGTGAGGCCAAGCAAGCCCAGGAACACACTTGGATCCTCGGCAGGCAGCGGGGGCCACTTAAGCAATAGAGCCAAGAGAAGGCCAAGTGGGTGGAGGTGGAAGAGGCTGTGCTAATGCTCAGGATCTGCCTGGGGCCCCTAGGTTTTTCTGGAACCTGCTGAGAGGGCAGTGAAGGGGCAGAACTGAGAGGGCTGACTGCAGCTTGGCCTTTTGTTCAGGTGGTTATAGAGCCTTTCTCATGCTCCAAGACACCTTGGCTTCATACCTCCTGGGATGGACCAGGGCCCCCTGTAGGGCGTTGGCTGCCCTGGAGCCTCCCACTGAAGGAAGAGACTGGGCTAAGGTTTCCTGGGTGGGGGACTTGATGATGCCAGCCTGGGCCACGGGACCCTGAGCCTCCGGGGTTGAAAGAGGAAAAGACAAAGGGAAATTAGGTTTTACTGAGTTTGATTTTCATTTGCAAATGAAATTTACCTGCTATCACTTTAACTCAGAAGAGGCTGTCAGCACTGCTCCCTGGCATTACTTCTTTGCATCTATCCCACATTAGGATAAATATTCCTTGGTTGGTTTTAAAGACACTTTGTATTTCAGGATATTCATGTGTTTCTAATGTATCCAAGCAGTTTTACGAGCCACATTTGCAGAACATCTTAACCCTCTCTCTTCCACCTCCGGCGGACTGGGGATGCGGAGATAATGGCAAAACAAGAAAGATCCAGAAAAAAGGGGTGGGGGTCCTGAGGGGCTGAAGCCAGCTAGGAAAGAGGGAGAGAACATTCTCAAGCAGGGTGCTACCTCAGAATTTTCACTGGGGCAGACCATTTGGAAAAGGGGCAAACATGGGACTGCTGTGTTTATGGTGTGCTTTTTGAGGGTCCACACCATACACCTCTCAGGGTAGAACCTGAACGCTCTTTGCTTAAAGGGAAACGGTTGGTCTTGAAACCTGTGCAAAGCTAGCCTTGAGCAGTGGAATGGTGCACTCTGTCATTCCCTCAAGCTTTTGTTTAGATGTTTGCACATTTAAAGAGATGATGAGGCACTGAAGCTCAAGGCTGTGGGGATAGCTTTGGGCCATGGAGAGGCACTGCACTGTGGCCACCGCGCGCTAACTCTTGAAACTAAAATTATAAGGTCTGGAAGGACCTACACAGAGCCCCTGTGACCTTCAGGCTCTCCCCATTGCCCTCAGGGTGGATTTTGCAGGCGACAAGTTTCCGCCTGCCAGGTTCCATCCTCACCACAAAGCCACTAGAGCAGAGGGCCTAATAAGGTACCACCATTTTTAGGGACACCCTATTCTGTTTCCTCCAGAAAGCTTTTGAGGAGGATAGACAAGACTCCCCAACTTTCAGAACAACCAGTCTCAGGCCATGAAGAGCACCCTGCACAGTGGCTTCACTGTGGCACCCGACCGCCTCAGAGTTGGTGCAAACTTGGAGTTGGGGATGGCGGGCCTTTGACACTTGGCTCTGGGAGGCTCCAGTGATCCTGAAGCCCATTTAGGGGTTGATAGGAGCGCCTCTTGCGCGGGCAGTGTCCCTGTTTGGCTCTTCACTGGATTCGGAACCGCGCAGTCTTGCCTGCAGTGCGGGTTGCGGGTCAGGAGGGGAAACAGGCTTCTGGGAGCCGAAGCGCCAACGGCGGAGGAACCTCGCCTTGCGGTGCGTGACCGGTGGCGGTGGCGGTGGCGGTGGCGGTGGCGGTGGCGGTGGCGGTGGCGAGGACTCCCGCCTGCTGGATCGGAGAGCCCCGGCCCGTGGGGAACGAGCTCGCCGCCTTCGGCCAGGGCCAGGGCGTTGGAAGAGCTGCGGCTGCCCGCAAGCCCGCGCGACGACGTGCAAAGGAAAAGGACGAGGTGCCTTTCTACCCGACGCTGTCTGTGCTTTCACTGCCCCAAGAGAACAGAAACCTCCTGCCGTCCCCCAGCGCAGCTCCGGGCTGCAGCCCGCAACAAAACAGGAAGCCGGCGCTGGACTGCGGATTCTTTATGTCAACAAATACACTGAAGACCTTGGAACACTTGAAGGAAGTAGGGGGTTTGCAGGCAAACTGGCCCCGTCGGGCAGCGGCTTTCTGGCCCGCCCCGGGAAGCCACCGGTGCAGGCCTGGGCCCGGGAGCCCCTCTCCCCGCAGAACCCTTCAGGCCTCCCCGCCCGCCCGGAGCAGGCTGCGAATTCTTAACCACAAAGCAACCGAAGGAAGGGACAGCCAGCCAGCCAGCCAGCGCAGCCACGAGGAAGGGGGACTCGGGACTCCTCCAAGTACACACCGAGGTGTAATCAGACTTTTACGGGCACTTTATGTATTGCAATCCTAACGATGTGTGCGCTTTGATATCCCCGTACAGATTCACACATCAGGCCTCTGCACACGCGTGCAGTGAATGTCATGTCCAGTGTCAGCTGGGTGAAATGTAGACATCAAACCGAGCTCGGAGGGAAAAAAATCTTCCCCTTGTCAGGCTGACCTGGTGACATTATTCTGGGTAGCTGGTCCATCTCTCTGCCCATTCCTATTTTTCTGGCCACCGGTCACTCCCTTTTCCAGGGCTTCGTACCTATGTACACCTGTCCTTAGCTGGTTTGCTTGTCATGGCCAGATCCTCTGGCCGGCTCTGGGGGCCCTCACTGAAGCGGTCTGGAGCCACCATCCCTTTGTCCCTGGGCTGGAATTCCACTTGGCCCAATGCTCAGGAAAACGAAGCAGCTCAATAAAAAACGTTTGATATTAGTTTTTACAGACATTTACATTCTGATGTGGGGGGCTGAGTACGGAAGCCTGCTAATCAGCCCCCAGCCTTGGGTTTGGATACTTGGTTTATGGATTGGGAAAGGGAATTTGCCAGAGAGAAAGCATCGGGAATGGCAGGCTGATTTGGGAGAAATGAAAAAACAAAAAACAAAGCAAAACAAGATGTTTTCTGTTCCTGGAAACTGAAGATTAAGTGAGTAACTCCAGATGCTACCCAGCAGATCACCTTCCTTCTTTTTTTTAAAGCCCCATTTGCACAGCACAATTTTGTAAAAAAAAATTATGAAAATTCCCGAATACATCAAAAAGTACAATAAACCCCTATACAGCCAACTTTTATCGTTTTGCCTGGTAGCTCTCATCATCCACTTCCATTCTTTATCTAACATTTAAAATTGAATCCCAGACATCAAATCATTCTACTCTTAACAAGGATATATTATTTCAAAATTGAAAATGAAAGACTCGAATTTGAATAGTTCCAGTTACATTCTAGAAACAACTTAGATTCCAGCCAAGAGAAGTCAAACCAAAAAGGTGTGGGGAGTGTGGTTCCACTTTGCCTGAAATTTTACATGGTTCTTCTTTATATATGAAAAATTATGTATATTAGAGATTTATATTACTCTTTGCTCTGAACAAATCATTCTTTTATTAAAGTTTTCACTGGCTGCATCAGGATTCATGGGGGAGAAGAAAACCATACCCCATCTTCTTTTGTGTCCTGAATTGACATGTAGTCACTTATGAATGTGCAAATCACTATTTTACCATCTCAACACATCTCCTTCCCTGGTGGAAATTCTGAAGAGATTTCTAATAACTAGTGTAGGAGGAAGAAGTTTATATTTGATATCTTGTCAGGGTGGCCACAGTTTTCAAGAAAAAAATGCAATTCTGTTTATTTTTAAAATATCTTTTTCACAATAAGATTCTTTAACAAAGAATAAAGATATCATGATTTTCTTGTTTGAATTCAATGATCTGACAAAGTCATGATCTTCCTTGGTGAACTCGATGGTGATTTAACTAAAGCTTTGGAAAGAAACTAAAAAGGCAAAACTAAAAAATGAAACAAAACAAACAAACCATTAAAATTTGACAAATCCTCTAGCAGCCTAACTGGTGAGTTCTAACCCCAATCTTCTTTTCCATGGCACAGTGTTAGATTGATAATATTTGGGATAATTTTACAGCAACCATATATAACTGCTCACAGCATTAAAAATGTGCAGTTGGCTAAATTCATAAAGGGTATGTAAATTAAACAGAAGACATCTATATGCATATATTTTATATTAACCTCCAACAGTGCCATCTGTATGGGGCAAAAGCCTCTGAAATGTCTCCCATGCATCCCAGATTGTAATCTGTGTGGCACTAACAAGATCGAAGACCCTTACCAGGCCCTTGGGCACCAGCGGTTGGGGGATGGGTGTCCCAGCTCTCCGGATGCAAGGTTGGAGTTTGTATGGGGTGAAGG